ATTATCAGTCATATTGTTTAGCTGGTAATCTAGGTTTGAACCCCAGGGGAAGAGGTTAGAATAAGATATGCTAAGTTTAAAGCAGAATCTTACTTATCTTTGTGTTTGTATGGACAACCTAGCAGTGGCTGAGACATGGCAGTCATTCAGAAAGTGATTACTAAACTGCTCAAAAGGTTAAGGATAAAATTAAATATTTCCTTACAGAAACCTTTAATATGGTTATTTAACATTTCATACCATTATTTAACTTTTTATACTTGTGTATATAGTCTCTCCCTGGATTTAATGTCTGGTCTTAAAACACAATGAGTAATGCACAAACTTTTACTTTATTTAAATGGTTTGGCAACACTCTCTTCTTGGGAGATAACTGAACTACGTTAAAAGATAATAGACTAGAAGAAAGAAGTCATTTATTGTTTGTTTGTTTATAGAGAAATATCATCTTATTTTACCATTATACCTAGCATTAGAAGTGTTGAAATAGAACTCAGGAGGTCAAGTTTTAGTTCAGTCTCTGCTACTATGAACCATAAAGTTAGAGGTCTCATCCATAAAGACATAACAACATTACTGTCTTTATGTATCAGGGGCCTTAAAAATGGTAATGAGGCTGGACACAGTAGCTCACACCTATAATCACAGCACTTTGGGAAGCTGAAGTAGGAGGGTCCCTAGAGGCCAGGAGTTCAAGACCAGCCTGGGCAACATAGCAAGACTCCCATCTCTACAAAATATTTTTAAAAAATTAGCTAGGCATGGTGGTGCATGCCTGTAATCCTAGCTACTCAGGAGGCTGAGGCAGGATTGATTGCTTTAGCCCAGGAGTTCGAGGTTATAGTGAGCTGTAATTGCCATTGCACACCAGCCTGGGTGACAGAGCAAAACTTTCTCTTTAAAAAAAAAAAATGGTAATGGCATTTGATCCATTTCTAATAAATGATCCTAAGTGAATAATCTGAAAACCAAATGTGCCTGTTAAGTAATGTGAATTATTATTACTTATAATAGTGAAAATTTTTCTCAAAGGAGAAAGGGACAAATAAACTTTGGTTCATTTGTAAAATGGAATTATATGGCCATTGAAAATAGCTTAGAAGAGTTCTTAATTATATGCCAGGAAATGAAGAGGCAGTGAAGAAGGCTGAAGAAAATACTAAATAAGTTAGATGATTCAATTCATTGCAATTATATACAAAAGAAATATACACTGAATAAAAGGACAGAAAAACCATGAAGAATATTGAGTCTTTATACTCTGCATATTTTAAGTAAGAAAATGTTAAGTTTTAGTAGAGTCTATACACAGTGGAAAAAGTCAGACAGATCATCTTTACCGGCAAAACACAGAATATATTTCACAAACTGTATTTACCTGATATAATGTAAGTTTATAAAACTTATTTGTGAACATTTCCTCAATGACATGTTTCATTCCAGAACATGCCATAAGAACAGAAGAAGGAACTAGAGATAGCCTACAGAGGATGTCTGCAGGAGAGACAAAAGCGTTGGCTTCAACACAGGGAAGAATGTCACACAGGAGGGGAATCAAACTAGTATTTATTAAGTGTTTAATAATGTACCATACATTTACTAGTGTTATCTTACTAGTGTTATCTAATTAAGAGCCCTAAGAAGCAAAACAAGGATAAAGGGTAGAAGCACCTCCCTGCCTCAGGGCCTTTGCACAGGCAGTTCCCTCTGCCTGGAATGCTATTGTCCCCACTCTCTATGGCTGGCTCCCAATTCATCTTTTAGTGCTCATCCTACATATCACTACCTCAGAAAGACCTATTCTGAAATAGGTCCTATTTACAACGTTTTTGTCTTACAGAAATTACTGCATTTTACAGGTTCTTTTAAGGTCTATCTCTTCAATTAGACTATAAGATGTGATAGACAACTGTTTGCTAAAGGAAGGAGGGGAGGGAGAGATGAGGGAGGAAGGAGGAAGAGAGGGAGGGAGGGAGGGAAGGAAGGAAGGAAGGAGGGGAAACTGGTCAAAGTGGAAAGTCACACAAAGGCTATTAACAACCTTAGCTTTAAAAACTTCATTCTGGAAGGTTCAGATGAAGAAATCTGCCAGTGACAACCCTTAGGAGTTCAGGATAGGAGATACTGTATCAGATCTAACTCTCATGCCTCTGTTAATTAATCCTACCTTCTGTTAACTAAGGTCGCTAAGTTTCAATTATGTATCATTTGAAGTGACTGAGTAAGTGTCTTAAAAATCCCCACAACCACTATCCTGAGTCAGATCTTTATTAATCTTACTGCCTCAAACCCCCTTTAATCTATCCTGTAACCTTCCGCTAGTATAAATTTTTTTTAACCCTGTTTAGAGTTCATTGTTTTCTGAATTAACTCCAATTTCCTTACTCTGATATTGAGGGTCTCTAAATTCTGGGAACAATCTACCCCTTTAAAATATTTCTCACAAATCTTACACCCTAGGATACATGAACTATGTAGAGATTTCCCTTTTCTGCTTCTTTGCTCTACCTCTAATACACTTTCCAACCCCATCGGCCTCCCAAATGCTAAAGTGCTACCACAGCCATTCAAATCCTATTTCCTCCAGAAAGTCTTCCCTAATTTCCTACACTGGGGAGTAAGTTCAACTCTTGAACTCTCCAAACTACTTATACCTTTCTTATAGTGGGGTTTATATATTTTCATATATTAATTTCATTTTCAAAGGGCTTCATATTAGCTCCTTCAGAGTTGATCTTAGTCTGATTCACTTTGTTCTCTTTCAGAGTATAAGAATACTTTTTATGAGTATAAAATATATATGCTCATTAAAGAAAACTCAAAAACTACAGAATATTTTTTAAAAAAATACTACCTATTATTCTTCCCTCCTGCAATAACCCATGTATAGAAATAAAATATAAGACTATGTTAAATGTATAATGTATAATATATATGTATAACAACTCATTTTTGAAACAAAACAGGTCATATTTATACACCGAATCTTGCCTGTATCTTTCTCCTTTTTATGTGAGCATTACAGCTGGTTTATCTTGTTATCTCCCATAGTGCTTCAAATACAAGGAAACTTTGGAAATTCAACTGTGGTGAACCTACCCGTTGATAAGACACTATTGCTTTTTGGGGAAAGACAAAAATATTGCTCAAGACTTACAGTATGCTTTCAGATGCTCATATGATCCTAGTTTATTAATTTTCATTACTTTTTATATTTTCAATAACCCTTAAAAAACTATAGGTCTTGAATTTTAATGCCAAAAAAGTAGGTTCCCACTTCAATTCGTTTCCCAATTCGCCATAAAAAAACAAAACAAAACAAAAAAAACCCAAACACCTACAAATGTACTTCAGTATAGTCTGTGATATATTACACATCCTGTTGTCCTGCCCAGTACCTGCAGTGGTTCTGTAAGGTTGTTTTTTACCCTTTAAAAATTTTGTACACATCTACTATGAAAATTCTGTCATCAGCAGACAGCCATTCCTAAATGAGGTTGTATACCGGCAAAGCTCTAAGTAATTAAGAGGCAGTCTTCTCTTGCCTATTCACGTGACATGCATGTACCTGATGGTAAGCATCACACTGTGAATTATGTGAGGTAAAGACAACACAATACCTACCTTTAAGGGGCAAAGAGAATTAATATTATTAATCACTTACCATAATCTAGGAAACATGTAAGCTGCTTTACATACATTATGTGATTGAATCTTAAAGACAGATATTATATTCCCTTTTAGATGAGGAAGCTTAGAAAGGTTTAGTAACTTGTCCATTATCACACAAGCAAGAATATGGCAAAATGAGAATTCACTTTTATGTCTTTGGCTCTTTCTATTATATCTTTCTTACTACAGAGACACTGTGCACTTTCAATAGAAAAACTCTTATCATTTTCTAGAAAATACAAATGAACTACTTGAACTACAGAACCATCTGCCCAAGATAGCACATGCCACTGTCTTCTGACAGGTGAGCAGACTGAGTCATAAGACAGAAAGAAAAAAGTTCTAAATTAATTTTATAGTCCTCCTTTCTTATACTAGACTTTCTTTGAAAAACATCAGGAGAACAATAATAATTTTCTGGGTTGTGTGCCCACACTTTCAATTTCATGATAAGCAGTCATCAACATACAAATAAGGCCAAACATCACCTTTGCATCCTGCCCACTGCAGATATTTTTGGAAAAAGACATGGAATAAAAGCGAAGTATGGATTTGAGAGAAACATGATTACTGATATAAGCTAACAATTTTAATCACATGAAGCAATTTTTCTTAAGGCAGTGGATCCATCTTCTGTGGAATGTTTTGTTTTCTTAGTGGACACAGAACTGTTTAATAGCAAAATTAATCAAATTTGGGCAGACTTTATAGTTGGCCTTTGACTTATCAATTCCAGTAAGGAAAATTTAGTAAAGCCTAGAAAAAATACACTAATCCTAAATAGGCCAAGTTTGTCACCTACCATTTCCCATAAGCTGCTTACCACAGTACAAAAAAAAAAAAAAAGAAGAGGAGGAAAATTTAAATTAAATGCCAAACAGTTGCAGACAGCACTTGTTTGGCTGATTAACTTGTAGACAAGCATTACAAATAAATCTGAGCATGGTCTGCAGCAAATTAAATTCCACTGCTTTTAAGAACAAAGAATTCTTTGGCAAAGAGGATTAGCAACTTTACACCCAGGAATGCCAGTTTAATTTAATTGTTCCACAATCCAAGATTTAATATGCAAATATCATTTTGATATATAATAGTGAATTTAACAAAGTGAGGAAACAAATTTAATATACAACCAGACTGCCTTTTCTGAACTGTAATTATATACAATAAAGAAGCTGGCCGAGCTCCCCCCTCCCTCCACATTATTGGGACTGAATTCTATTAACATGAATCAGAACAACTGTAATTAAAGGTTAAAATTTTTAAATGTATTCTAATTAAGAGTCTAAATAGCTGTACAATTAGAATACTGTAGTTAAAAATCACACCTCAATGATCTTCTTGGCCTCTTTGTAATTTCCTGTTTGTAGGAAGGCAAAGAAGAGATCATAGAGCATCGTCATTTCACCTTGTTCTTGGCTCACAAAGTCCATTGCTACAGGAAAGAAGAAGATATATTAGAAGGAAAAAAAGGGAAATGCAGTATCACATAAAGTTCTAGAAAAAACAAGAAAACTTTATCTTAAAAACAAATATTAAAAATAACTTAAAGATTATACCTATATTGACTAATTTTCTGTTATAGTCCTTAGCTAATGGTATACATGTGTGACATTAAGTATCTAAGAATAGCATCGAAGAGAATTAATGAGGATAAGCATGAAAAATCTTCAAAAAGATCACCAAATAGAAGATAAAAATAAGAGAGGGGCAATTTTTAAAGATGAACAGTTATTAAAATCAAGGACATTAATAATACTGAGAATCTACTTTTCTATTCACAAATGTAACAAAGTCTCTCTGGATGCACTTGTCTTCTGTTGAAGTTTCTCTTCACAACAGTACATTAAAATTAAATAAGCAAGAAGGAACAAAATCCAACTACATTAAGATATTAGAAGGTGACCAACCTTTCTGAATTAGATCAGTCTCGCCTTTCTCTATCAGTTTACATAAGACATCATGAATCCTTGGTAATATTTTATACTTTCTAAAGCAGTCAATGGTGGCTTCAAGAGCAGCAGGTGAGTCATCCCTTGGAAACATCAAAAAATTAACAATGAATAAAATGTATCTAATTCAGTTTAGTCTCTTAGTAATAATTTTAGAAAGATGTATAATGACCAATCAAAATGTAAAGTACTGAGCTTTACTTAAGATAGAAAACTACCAAGCCAAATGGAAGAAAAAAATAGAGAGAAATAATCCTTATATACAAAAATATATGTTCAGAATACACACATCATTAGCAGTCCACTATTTACCCACCCTGCTTCATCTTTTATTATTTTGCTTGCTAAATGGTACTTTTTTTAAAAAGTCCAAATAGATGAAGACATTCTCTGACTTTATGTAGTAAGTTGCCAGAGAATGTATTATTTTTAAAAGCAAGGAGTATGGTCAATTATCTTTTCCAACTACTTAATGTGCCTTTATGGCCCTCAACCATTTCAGATTTGGGAAACTTTATTAAATATCCATCAAACAGCTATCAAAGAATTTTCAAGCACTTTCCATCTTTATCATAGTATTTTTCATCCTGTCACCTCACTAGCTAAATAGAAAATCACCTCAGGTTTCATATATATGAGAATTTACTATTGCTAAAACTAGGATATTCTGTGGGTCAGTGAATTCTAGAACTCTAAACATTTTTTCATTAGTAGGTAAGTTTTTACAAATTATTTCTAATTATAAAGTCAAGGCTTTTATGTGGTGAGAAATTAAAAAGATATTGTCATCAAATCAGAGTGTCTTCAACAAGGGTGTGGAAATATATTCCCCTGGGTTCTCAAAAAGTATTTTTGATCCTTTAAAAAGAAAATGTCAGTATGAGAAATAAGTAAGAACTTGCAAGAGTTATAGAGACTATATGATTCAATTCTACTTGCCACCCTCTTTTTTTAAAGAGGAGGAAATGAAGGCATCTGGAAATTGACTGGTTTGCCTAAGGCTCCTGGGTGCACCGAGGAAGGCACTGGCATGCAGGTCCCTGGACTTCCCGATCAGTTCAGTACATCTAGATATACATTATTCTTTAGTAAAAGCACTGCTATGTGAACAACCTAATAAAGTGGTGCAATTTGGAATAAGAAATTAAAGATTTTTGGAAAAAGAATATGAAATGTATTTAAAAAGAGGCATGACTAAAAACATGAACCCAAGTACAATTAGTGACAATCTTTGCAGAAAATATAAATTTCTCTCACACAATCATTTTCAAAAGAAAGCCTTTTTACATTTTCTGTTAAAGCCTTAACATTTTTGTCCATTATACAAATGTTATGTTGCCCTAGAGTGAATTACTATTTTATCTAGATTAAGATTTTAAGCTGTACCAAAAAAAGTTAAATACAAAGAAGAAGCGTTAATTTTACCGCAAGAATACTGACACAGTGAAAACGAGCCTACCCTGACGGAACTCTACCTTATCCCCTTACTAGGCCCTGTTTACAGTGCATCTTCTGGCACCCCACAGAGTCATTTGAATTTTTGTCATTTGGGGTGAAGACTAAATTACAGGTTAATTTCAAAACTGCAAGTAGATGTTGCAGGCTAGATTACTGTCATACAAGAGAAATGGTACAGTAGCTACCACGTATGATATAAAGCTTTATATAATCAGTATTTTCCCTTGCTTCGACACAGGTTCAGTTATTGCCTTTCTATAATTCTGCTTAATGAAAAACTACTAAAACATTTTGAAGAGCAAAACACGTAATGATTTTTTTTAAGCGGCAAGATTTGTTTTTTCAGATCAATTCCCAAACTAGAATACTACTGTCTCAATTGTATTTCCCCTACATTAGGTCAAAGCTATCAATAAATGAATGAATAATTGTTCTGTCAATCAAAGCGACATGTTAATAGTCTTTGGTCTCCAAATATATGCTTCTGAAGATTATACATGTTCAGAACAACAACAGAAAAGACAAGAATACAAAATGGAAATAATTCATATATTGGTTAGTAATTTTAAGTACCAATGCTACTGCTCTTGGGGTTGCCAACAAAATGAAATAGAAATTTATAATGAAACACTTCATACAAAGTGTATTGGAGACAGAAATGAACTAAATGACTAGTCAGTTCTTTTCAGACTCTACTATCTACATTCTAACTGTGGTTGGACCATGTCATTTAAAAAAGATAAAAATTTACATTCCTCACATAATTTATATCATCAATAGTCTTTCATTTTAAAGCTTGAAAAATTAGGGGATGGATATGAAAAATATGAAAAAAGCATCTAAGATTTGCATGGCTATGAAGATAGCTATATACTCAGAGGACTCTGGATTTCAATCTCAACTGATAAATCGGAGCACTTATGCAGCTCAGCTGTAGCATGTGATACATTTCTAGAAGTGGAGACGGAAAGCAGATTATCACAATGGCTGAACTCAAGGTCCTTCAGGTTCCTTTCCAGTTCTAATGCTGTGAGGTTCTATGAATATGTGTTTATTAGGTTCATGTACTCATCACATGTCTCTTGCCAGCAGACAAAATCATCACATAAAAATACCACTTTTAATAGGCAGGATGAAATCAGTAAGAGCAGTACAATACCAAAAAGAGAAAGATGCAAACTGCTTTACAGCCAAAATGTGGGACATCACTTTACCAACTGGTATGCTTTCAGCTTCTGTGACCTAAAGTGATCTGTGATTTCCTTTGTAAATCAGAAATGATTTAAAACCCTACTCAAAAATAACAATAATCCTTTGAAGGAATGCTTTGAAGAAATTAATGTTGATGTATTAATTCTGCGTTCAAATTTTGAGCCATGCTTATTTCATTATATAGGCATAATTCCTAAAGTTTTATATGCAAATTTTTAAAAGTTCATACCTAATAAAAATTTAGTTGCTGCTTTCACAAACCTCAAATAACACCTAAAGAAAATCAACTCTATAACACACTATTTTTTTTTTTTTAAGAGACAGGGTCTCACTCTATCACCCAAGCTGGAGTGCAGTGGCAAGATACAGCTCACTGCAGCCTTAAACTCCTGGGCTCAAGTGATCCTCCTACCTCAGCCTCCTGAGTAGCTAGGACTACAGGTGTGTGCCACAGTGCCCAGTTCATTTTTTTAAGATTTATTTTGTAGAGCGGGGGGGTGGGGCTCTTACTATGTTGCCCAAGCCAGTCTCAAACTCCTGGCCTCATGCGAAGTGCTGGGACTACAGGCATGAGCCACCACGTGTGGCCCTATTATCTCTTTAAACAAAAAATCCATTGTGATACATATATATATGAGACAGTCTTTGAGACAGTCTCTCTCGCTCTGTTGCCCGGGCTAAAATGCAATGGTGTCACCATAGCTCACTGCAACCACAAACTCCTGGGCTCAAGCGGTACTTCTGCCTCAGCCTCCGGAGTAGCTGGAACTATAGATGGGCACCACTATGCCCAACTAATTTTTTTCTATTTTTTTTGTAGAGATAGGTTCTCGCTCTTGCTCAGGCTGGTCTCAAACCCCTGGCCTCAAGCAATTCTCCTGCCTCAGCTTCCCAAAGTGCTAGGATTACAGGCATGAGCCACTGCCCCTGGCCCACTGTGGTATTTTCAAAGACCAGACCCCACCCCAAAATTTTAATGGACTACATAAAGTAATTTTCATGCATACAACTATATATATATATGCTAATAAAAATATGCAATATTTTGATTGATACAATTAACAATGTAAGCTTTACCAAAATTCTGTGAGTCTATGAAATAAAGGCAGAAGAGGGATAAAGAAGATTCTATAATTTTAAATTTTAAAAACATAATATATAATAGGCTGGGCCCAGGAAGTAATCTGAAAACTTAAAAGAGAGTTACATTTATTAACTTGAATGAAGTTACTTGGCCCATATCAAAATTCATTCTAGAATCTATCATTCATTTTTTAAGGGAATGTGACTATGTATAAAAACTACTACAAAGTATAATTTTTCATCATTACATGGAGTAACATCCAAAAAGGCAAGCTTGAAGCTCATATGGCAAATCTGATGCCCTCTTGTTTTAGTCCTCACTATGAAATTGAAATATGTTACAATGTCACAGACAGAAAAACAAACAGTAGGTAAGATGTAAGTTTGCCGGACATACATTCATGAGGCATCTACTAATCATAAAAATATCTACCTCAAGGCACCAGGAAACAAAGTACTCCTAATTTATATAAATTTTTCAATACTTATAACTAAAAGTCATCGATGTGTTTCATATAATCTTGAATTATTAAAACAAGAACAGCCAGTGACACTATCTGTTCTCTTTACTCATAGTAAATAACTTTCCAATCCAGAGAGTACACTCAAACAACAAAAAAAGATGACAAATATTGACTTTTAATTGGAATAAAGTGCTTCAACATTATATATAAAGTGTTAGTGAAGTGGCAATTTACCTAAAGAGCTTTCTGACTGAAAAGCTCTCAAATCTTAAATCACTGGGAAGAGAGAGGTTGTGGGGGGAAAAGTTTAAAAAAAGACAAAAAAAAAAAAAAAAAACCCAAACAAAAACCAAACTCAACTCCCTTAAAACAAACTATTTTATAAATCTTATGTTCAGTATGGGAAGAAATCAATTCAAGAGAAACCATCATCTTCACAAAAATTATTCTGTTAAAAGAACGAGCCCTTGAAAGAGCTAAATGTTTTTTTCTGTTCATCATCTATAAATGAGGAATCTTCAAGGAGACTGGTGTTGCAATTACAACTAATCCTCCCCAAAAAATTAACTGTGTTGAAGGCTTTGTAATTTCCCTAGGTACAATTTAGCTGTCACTTACTTTAAAATTTACTCAAACATGCGTTCGGAACAGCACTAACTTCACATGTCAAGTGCTTTCCAGCCAATTGAGTCTAAACTGGAAGTCGGTGTTAAACAACTGAATGATTAGACAAGATAGCTCATTTCCCTGCTCTTTTGTTCAGAATAAAATGCCACATTTACATTATCAGGCTCACCAGGATTTTCTGACAGAGAGAGAAAAAACCCTACTGCACACTGTCCGTACTAAGCATATGAAGCCTGTCATTTACCAATCATCCTTCAAAAAGCAATAGCCATGAATGTAACTTAATTATGACCCAATGATCCTTGACGAAAAATCATCTTATCACTGTCCTGTCCCCTAGGGCAAATGAACCACTTTTTGTCCTTTGGCACTGATGATGCTAAATTCTTAATTGCAATAATGGAGTAAAAGAGCCAAACCTCTTTAATTTCCTTTCAGCACATGAAGAGTTTTACTCTAGAAGGCCAGCATTCCCATAAATAATAAAAGTATCCAATACAAATGAAGATGCTAAAATTGAAGAGGAGTGTCTATGACAGAATAATCAACATTTAAAAAGTACACTTCTCATTTATGTAACATATTAAAGTGTTACAGTCAGTTTCAAAACCTATATGGTCCTAAAGAAATTTTGACCTTTATGAAGAACTCAAGATTAATCTAGCAAGAGTTCTGGAAGGATTATATATACAAAGTCCATCACATACTTAAATGAAATGCATATGGGCACACACAGATTACAGCACAAATCAGCACAAAAAAATCCTTAATGGAAAGCAGAAATTAATGCTGCTTTGATCATTTGCACTAATATAATCCAGTTAAACAGCTTCAGTTGTTTTCCACACGCAATGAAAGCAAAATGGATCAGGTATAAAACAAGTGAATCTGAAATTGCATCATCCAAATTTTTATGATCTTAAATCTGATTGCCCAGATTTTATTAATTTATTAAAACCATAGCATGAAGACTAATCAAAAGCTCTTTTAACCTATTTTTAAAGCATTTCTTTCTTCTTCAACATGGAGAATCCATGTCACCCCCCTGAAACAGGCATGATTTCAATAAAAGAAGCACATTTTAAAATAAAGTAGCTACAAAGAAAGTGTTTTAAATAATATTTGGACTACATGTAGATATGTGGTTCATGGACTATAATGTAATGTAAACGAAACACACAAAAATCTCATCCAACTGCATATTTCTTTTCTGTTCAATGCAAGTATTATCATTTTGACAGTATAGAGGCAGGTTAGTTTACCAACTTCTTTATAATTTTCTAAATCATTATTGTTTTGGATTTCCCTTGGTAAATGAATAAAAACAAAAAATGTATTATTTCCATATCCACAAAGCTTTTTTACATTATCCAAGTAACACAAATTGACACAACATTAATTTCTTCTGTATTTTATCCGATGCTGGAGCAGTCAGGTCAATATTAAGATCTGCTCAATCTTAAAGATTATCTTTTTAAGGAACTCAATCTTATGGATTTGTTTCAGGATTACCATGTGAAAATGATATTCTCTTTAGAGTCTTTTGCAGTGACATATCAAAAAGATGCTCCCTTTGAATGAAAGGATGAAGATTTTTTACGATCCTCTCAGATGTTTTTTATATTTTATCTCAAGTTTGAATAAATAATGCTCACTCCTCAGATGAGCTCATACCTGCTGAGGTCAATTACATGATATTACTTTAGATTAAACACATTTAATCAAATCAAGTACATGTGGACTTTTTGGCAGACTAGCATAGTTAATCCTAGTACTTGTCATGATTCTGAATTAGTTAGCTATCTCCCATCAGTTGGAGAAAACACTATTGAAAAAAAGTTCCAAAGTCAATGTTCTACCCCAGCATTTCCCCTGTGAATGCTATTATTGTTTTTTGCAGTTTTATAAATATGAAATTTCCTTTATCTCCTTTATATTATTCTCATAACTCTGAAAGAGTCAACAAAACCTTTTTTATTATGATAGACAAAACTGAAAGACCTTTGTCATGGACACTGTCTTTGCAAAGTCGAAGACAGTAAAAACACAACCAAACAAAAAAATCAAATTAGAAGGTATACATATCTGAAAGTAATAAGACACCATAAAGAGAAAGATGCTAATTTAGATTTCTTTGGCCAAATTATAGGTAGAGTCTAATTTGACCGAGACATGGAAATATCTGACTGCATGGTATCCGCACTGTATAATCAGAAACACAGAGGATGTGCCAGGTTAGCATCTGAATTCCATGCTGCTTCCATTTTCCCTGGGGTATGCTCTCCTTGGTTCATGAGCCCCATCTGCAGACCTCTTTTGGAAAACTTACACGTCTCCTCTGTCTTCAAAGTATTTCTACTTGTAAGATACTTTTCTACCCTGGCTTCATTTTCATTGTTAATTATTTTATTTTTGCCCAGTAGTGTAGGAGGGCCTAATTCATCTGGGCACTGGGCCCATTTCCTTCAAATCCCTATGCAGAATTCCACATGCAATTTGCAGAGATGGGTCTTTTAAACATTCAAAAAAATTCTAATAGGAAGCATATTAATTATAGGATTTTTATATAAAGTTGGCTGTGAACAGGAGAACTCAGTAACACAGTAATTCTCTGAATCACTATTCCTTTAAAAGGATATAATGCTGAGACTGTGGAGGTTAAGATTTGGCCAATCGTCTAACTTGATAATTGTTTTTGATTGGAGGGCAAAGGAATTATTTCGTATGTACACACGCGTATACACACATTTCCTAACAGAAAGCTAGTTAAAAGAGATTTTATCATACGTTTTAAATTCAATACAAAACCACTCATTATATCCAATTAATTATGCCCCTTAGTAAATAAAGGAAAACTACCAGAAATTTGGGAGAAATCTGAGACCCATTAAAATATATATTAATATTTTCTTTTTCTCCTGGCATTGAGAGGGCAACGTCCCACCAAAATGAGAAAATCCCAATCACGAAATAAGCAGATTACAAACTGCATTAAGCCATGGAAAAGATGACAAAGAGATAAGATCTAGGAAAGTAAAAAAGCAAATCAGAAAACAAAAACAAATTCAAAAGGAAAAGAAGATAATAAAGGATGCTTAATCATCTTAGGAAAATGTTTCACTCATTACAAAAAAGTGGAGTGATTTTATGATTTGCATTGCAAATAATGCCTTTAAGAAATTGGGTACCAACAAGAGCACTTCAAATGGAAAAATTTTCAAACTCAGTACATCTTGCCCTATCAACAAAATTATTCTTCCCACAAGACAGAGACATCTTCTACAACATTTATCAAAGCTAGAATTACTGTATTGGTATATGAAATTAAAATATCATATGTAAAAAAGGAACACCGAAGAGATGCTTGTACATTTGTTACCTGAGTAACAGTCACGACACATAATCAAAAGCCCCAGAGGATCCTTCTTTCTTCTATTTATTAATACATAAGGCTCAAAACTGGGAAAAACTAGATTAAATTTCATGTAATATCATCACATCCTCCTACAAAAAAGCACCAGAGACCACTGCATTGAGAAGCAAGCCACAGAACCAAAGGGCTGTCGGTGATTTTAAAGGTCACCTAGCCCACATGAGACCTTTTATTCTGTGGTGAATGACCGCCAAGGCTTCCTCATCACCAGAGTATTTACAAAGTATAATCCCAAAATGATTAGACTCATTCTTTTAATGCCAACATTTAAAATTCAAAATTCAATTAACTTACTTTTCCAGGTACACAGTAACCAATGGGGAACATAGGCTGGAGGAGGGTTTTGCTAACCCTAGAGTCATGATGGCTTCATGCAATTGTTTTACTGTTTCAATTTCACCTCTCAAAGCTGCACCATTTAGGAGGTGGAAAAAGGACAAGACTGTTGCATCTTTGATAAGAACATCCTTCTCTTTCATCTCCTTTAGAATGTTAATAGCATCTACAATGAAGTAACACAAAAGACCCTTAGGTAATTTCATGTAGGGAAAACAAACTGCTATTAAAACAGCATTTCAAGCCCAGCAGGAATGTAAATTCTAGTGTATAATGCCGATTTCAAGTTAATTACTACTTGCATTTCTAAACGAGACTACAATTATAAATCCACAATAGCATGGTTTTATCATTTCCCTGCAACTTTGACTACAAATTATAGATAGGGACTGTGTGCCCACTCTGCACCACATAACCCTGTACGGTCTGCCCTATAGCTGTAAGATCCTCCTAAATGGATGCTTTTATCGTTCAGAGCTAACATCTGCTAAATCACACCATTGTTTCTTCAGCAGATGGCTTGTCAGGAGGCCAGATAATAAAGATGTGTTTACACTGTATATACAGCCAGACTAATGGTCTGATACCGATAGGGCCTGTTTGCTATGTCGATACTAATTAGCCAAGCAGAGCCAATGAAAGCTTTCCAAAAGACTGCATGTTAATACATTAGATTCATTAAGCTTCATTAGGAAGGCAGAAACAAACATTTTAGAATATGGAATAAGTGCATTTTTATAACGTTGTTCTTAATTATTACACAGACAAAATGTTTTGACCACTTTACAAAAAGTGATTTTAAAAAAATAGGCTAATCCTTATGAAGAGTTAGAAAGGCTTCCTAGGAAAAATAAAATGTTCTAATCAAATATTTTCTCCATACATCTTTCCCTATAATAAAATTAAAACAGTCTCTTCTAGAAATAAAAGAAAACAGAGGAAGGCTAAAAAGGAAGTTGCAAAATACAGCCAGATCAGAAAGTTAAGAAACAAGCAAATAGTAAGAATATATTATCAAGTGTAATTAATTATATTAGGCTTAGTGTTATCTCAACAATGAGAAAATCAGAGTATGAAAATCAGCTATATAATCAGCTATGCTTTTCCCATAAACTACTAAATACTTTAATTATATATTTTGTTAACGTTAGTAAAAATTAAGACAAAGACTACTGCAAAATTCAGATTCATATATATTAATATGAGGTTATGTTTATAGGTTTTATGTTCAGCCTGCAGACCTTCTTAAGCAAAAACAAAGCCATTAGTGCAGGCACATAAGCAAATTGTGCCATAAGTCATGATCTTCAAACTCAATCCAAACAGCAATGCTAATAAAAACTAGCTGCAGAAATGCAAAAAGCAATGAGCTGTGCAAATGTAAATGACAAGCTTGCCAATCCATTAAAACTAATGGCCTACACTGTCCATGCAGCTCTGGTTGGATTCACATGCAAATTTGTATGCAAAGTGTTCAAGCACTTTGCATGACATGATATACCATTAATATCAATTCACATGTTATTCCAGTGGCAAGATACCTGCATCACATATTTCCTTTATGTACTGAGGCTTACCTTGGAGCTTGCCATGCTTTCCCAATACTTTTACAAGGCCTACATACTTCCCAGTGTCCAGGACAGCAGATGAATATAAACGGTCACTAAAAATTAATATTATGTTAAAGTCAATTAACTGCACAAAGAACTGCAACATCTATTTTATCACTTTTCAAAAGCTCATCACAAGGTGTGGAGTGTTATTAACATTGGCCTCTACACTTAAGATTTCTTTTTGAAGCCATATATACAAATGCACACATAATTATATTCAAAGTGACTAGAGAAGTAAAAAATCTAACACTACACAGCTATTGCACCACTCCATCTGCAAAGGACACTAATGAAGAAACTCTTTGGCTTTATGTGATTCTAATCTTCATCACTAACACTGAAATACTCAAAAAGAAGACAAATTTTATCTGATAAATCTATCAGGATGGGAAACCAAAGACAGCTGAGAAATGGACAGGTTTTTGTTTACATTATAATAATGTTATGAAGCCTTATAAAACAGTTACCATCACCATTGTTGTGATATGTAGATGTATAATTAATGGAAAAAAACTTCAGCTCTAAGGACTAGAAGGTCTTATCATACTTAAACAGACACCTTGCTGAAAACAAGCCAAAATTAATCAAAGAGCCTTATACTATGAAATTTCAAAAACACTAACAAAAGAAATTTTTAAAAATTACGTTATGTAAGAGAATAATATTCAATTTAGGTGATCTACCAAAGGGCTGTATATCAGAATAAATGTTAACTTGCTTCAGTGGCAGGGTACTCACAATTCTTGTTTCAAGTTCAATGCTTCTTCTGCATTATCATGTCGACAGCACAAATTTATTAAAGCTGCATAGCCACCAATAACCATGTCCGATTCATACTTTGCTTTCAATTCAAGGGCTTTTTGCATATTCTAAAATAAAGGATAGAAGTAAAAAAGAAAGAAGTAAACAATGTAAAGGTAAAAATGTCAGATTTTTAATGTTCAGAGTTCAGAAAAAGTTAACACTACTTTTAAAATAAATGGTGTCTTGTTATCAACTTGACCCTGTCCTTTGGTATTTTTATTCACCTTTTAAAATGCAGATAAGTCAAATATATACTCAGGGGTTAAAAGATGTGTTATTCATAATATAAAAGAGAACATTATTTATACCAAGTTTGCTGTTTTTAGCTTTGTGTATGGTATTATTAAAAAAAAAAAAAAAAGATTTCCAGATTAATTTCCAAATCAATCCCTACTCACAGTCCAATTTCCAAACATAGAAATATGTATCTTTGAAAAGTTCCTTAGTTTAGCATCCAAGTAATGTGAAAAAATATTTTAGAATTTAACAGTACCATGTTTTATAATCTTAAAGTTAGTTATGATATTTTTTCCCTACAACCACAGGCTTATGACCAAATCATACTGAACTAGAAACTGAAAATAAGTCTAGTGATATCCCACAAATTGCAGACACACACTAAAATGAACACAAAGTACAGCTGGACGCCTGCTGAAAAAAAGCAAGAGACCCTTTATCTCAGAAAGAGCTTTTTTCCAGCAGGAAAATGGAATTTCAATCCCTGCATTAACAACCTAGTAATATTTGACTTGCAAATGACTACTGCATGTATCAGTTGCTTGACAATCTAGATATAAGAGACCGGAGCCATGGCTTGAAAGGACATTTGGCATGTATGATAAACCTATTACAGTTGTTACTATCATTCACTTTGCAGATTATCGTAAACAAACTACAGCAACCCGAAAACATGCCATTCAAGGTGTAGCTGAAATTAGTTAACCTTTCATTTAATTGCATTCTTTATAAGCATGACGTAAAATAATCAATTGTAAAAATCATAAATACTATCTTTGGTTTTGCTTACTGTTACCTATAAAGAAATTTTTACCTTAATAACATATTTAAAATATTAAAACAAATGTTACCTCTTCTGAACAAAGCACTAATATGAGTTGCTTTAGGACATCTCCTACAGGTTGGTTTTCAGCTTTTAGTCTTTCAAGAGTAGACTCCAAATCAGATGATGCAAATTGCACAGTCTATAGAAATGGAAAGAAAAAAAAGAAGAAAAAAGTTTACTGAAAAAAGAAAATGCATGCCTTTTCACTCTTCCCTTTAAACTCATTTTACCTTCTACTTTCCTAAATGTCATAAATGCTATCAGGAATATTAGCTGGGGATCCATGGGTGAACTCCAGGGGTTTATGAACCTCCTGAGATAATATGCAAATTTGTTAGATGTGCTGATTTTTTTGAGATGGGTTTTACCAACTTCTTAGAGGCACAAAGACGATAAAAAATGTTAGGAACCACTGCTTTTATAAGGACACAATCTAGAATTCTCATGAAATATGGTTATTTTAGCATGAAGAATCCACTCAAAAGTCTACTTACTTTTCGAGAGTCTATCTTCTCTTTGTCAACCAATACATAAACATCCTAAAATTGGGATTTAAATTAGCACACAATTAGAAAACATGGGAAACTATATTAGCAAATTTCAAAAGTAAATTTTGGAAGGCTCGTCTCATTTTACTGCTACTTTTCCATCTTTCCAAAATTTTGCATAAATTTTGCTCATACTTTATTAATCATTATAATTAACGTTTTAAATATATTTTTCAATAGATAAATAGTATTACTAACAATCAATGAGAAGCTTTGTTTTGGTTGTCATTGAAATAAAATTTTTTTGGCCAAAAGCATCATATTTAAACAAAATTTTAACATGCTTTTAAATATAAATTAAGCATTTTATAAAGTTGATTATTGTTTCACACACCTTAATTAATTCAGGAACATGGTGGCTATCCAGTAGATTACGAATGCCTCTGTAGATATTTTCAGGAATTTTCACATTCTGTGAGAAGGAAAGGGGGGGGAACACCCCTGAGTTTTAGACAACTAAACTGAAATTTGTCTAACAGAAATTATCTCAGACATAATTTAAGTCTCCAACTCTTGCATGTCATTGAGAAGTGGTCTGGCTGTACTTAAAAGCAGCAATTTCAAATCTAATAGATACATGTCAGCCAGGACAGGCATTATATAGCAAAAAATGAAATGGTACCATCTCCTTCAGCTGATGGAAGTATTGTCTCAAACGCTCCTCCTTGGCCTGTACCTCTGAGTCACTCATGCTGTCAATCAAGTTATAAAGAAAATAGCCAACAGCTTCTGTGGAAAAAAACAAGAGAAAGCATTCCACTAAAATTACCGAGACTGTCATGTTATCAAGATTAATTTATAAGAAATCATTTTGGTGTGAGATGTCACCCTGATGAGAGGCTCTGAAATGGCAACAATGATCACTGAGGCATAGAGATTATGTGGTTTGGGAGCACATATCTAACTGGTGAGTGAAAGGAATATTAATTATTTTCAGACCGAGTGACAGCTTTTCAGTACTGAATCTTACTTCAATCTATTTTTTTTCTACCACTCTGTGACAGAAGTGGTCCTGCCCAAGGCCTTACCCCTCTCCTGTCCAAATCACAAGTAGTAAGAATAAATACATGTCTTGTACACATTTCTATACTAATTTTTGTGAACAGTATTTAGGAAGCACATACAGTTAGAAAGGATTTTTAAAGGTTGAGTATAGGAAGTTAAATAATTTTAATAAGCAGATACAGTAATCCTGTGAAGAGCTGCCTATTAGCCAATGAAAAACCAAGATTAACAAAGATGTTTTGTAACAACAGTAATTTTCCTATGCATTCAAGCATAAAATGTATAGGGCCACATGTTAATACCTAGGATAGAAAATTTGAACTTT